GCCCTTCATATCTACAGGCTCTCAATCTATGGATTCAAGCAACCATCTGTCAAAGATACTTAATAAAACAGGTTGCATCTGTAAAGAGCATATTTTTATCACTTGTGAAACAATATAGTGTAAGTACTTAATTCATATCGTGTTAGGTACTATCAGTAAACTAGAGATAATTTAAAGCATACCCAAGGATATGCACAGGTTCTACGAAAATACTGCACTGGTTGTTCATTTCTTTGTTTTCTGTACTGGAGATTGAACTCAGGCCCTTGCACTTGCAAGGCAGGTGACAGAACCATTGAGCCAAATCCCCAGCCTGTGCTGTTTTATAAGAGACTTGAACATCTGGATTTTTACTATCCTCTGGGGTCCTGGAAGTAATCCCCCATGAATAATTCTAAGGGATATCTGTACCTATCACCTTGTTTATTGAGCTTTGTTCTAAGCTTTATATATGTACTATCCCATTTGATTCTCTGCCGTAACACTGTCAAATGGGTACTATTTTGCCTTTGATGCAAAAATTGAGGTCCAGAGAGGTCAAAGTCAAATTAGCCCAAGATCACATACCTGGTAAGTGGTCAAGTTGACAGTCTGACCAAAAAGTACACTTAATTTCTATGTTGAGCTGCTTCTCTATATGGAAATGAAGGATTATGCAATTAATTAACTTCCTCAGATCTTGAAGGGGTAGCTATATAGTCTTCCCTTACCTAAGGAAATATGTTCCAACAATCCCAGCGGATGCCTGAATCCTATATTTCTTCTAAATGTCCTGCCATATTGCTCCATAGTGCTTTCAGTTGTCCGGTAAAATGATAAGGTTCTGTTCCACACAATGTCATTATGTGCAGATATCATCTACCTTTTATCTAAATGTTTCTTATCAAAAATTGATAAAGGCAATAAGGTTAAATGATTTTCCTAGTTGGGGGCATAAATACTCCATTTAAAGATTCAGTTTTTGTGCATAATCACAGTTTTTTGCACTTATTTTAGATTTACTCAAAGTAGCCTAGTGGTGTGTAAGACAGTTTTTTTTTAAAAATCCTTAACCTTTCCTAGGCTGTATCTTGTAGAGTTTGACTTCGGCATATTTAAAAGAAAGCCACATAAAGAAGCAAGAATGAAACATTAAGGTTATCAACTTGAAACTACATGCTTTCACCAACAGTAATGTTTTTTATTTTTATTTTTATTTTTTTGGTACTGGGGTCAATCTTGGGTCCTTGCACTTGCAAGGTAGGTGGCGGCATCACTGAGCTAAATCCTTGGCACCAACAGTAATTTTTAAAAATCATCCAAATTTAAGACCATATTTTTTCAGATGATTCTCTATAAAGCTAGACAAAAGATGGGTTATTAATTTCTTTCAAGGAGGAAATACTTTAGTTTATAAATTGTGAAGACATTCATGTTTTCTTTGTATATCATAGTAAAAGTTGATGAAGTTTATGTTTGTACAATTTACTGCTATTTATAGCATTGATGCTTTTACTTTTGTTCCTTTTATTTTTCATCTTAAAACTGTGTATAGTATAAGTGAAACATAGTCATTCTTGTCTTTCTGGAATGCTAGTGACTGAACTAGTTATGGCATCCCCTAGGTTTTGCTCATTCATTTTCCTCACACTTGTGAGTCTTCTGAAAAAAATCTTGATAATTGGCTTGATGATTAGGAAATAAAAATGTACATAGAAATTGTTTTGTATAATGTATGTACAAATGGTTAACCTCTAATTTTATAGCATTTTACATATTTGCCAAAGTAGTTTAATGGAATTTATAAAGCAGAATGTGTTTTGAATTTTATAGTATGCTTTCACATTAAGCTGTAAATTACCACTGTATAGCCTTAGAAGTGCTGTTGTTCATAAAATTAATAAATCAGCCACACACAAATACCACGAGTTCTCAAAAGATGAATAATATGAACTAGCGTGACAGATCCTCTATAAATGGGGAAGATAGCCAGTGCTGAGATACTATTATGTTATGTCTCCCTAAAAATGAGGAAGAAGCCTAAATAGGAAGTCTGACTCTACAGTGTATGTTGAAATGTCTAAAAGCTGTGTACTCTTCATGTGAAGTGAGCGGGTATGCCTACCAAACAAAAAGGGACAACAGAGTAACTTGAACATTGACTTAGGTTATTGGGAAGAGGGAAGAACAAATCACTTAAAGGATTTAAACCACAAACTGGCTCCTCTTAGGACCGTATAGCCTAGATTCCCATTAATACTGTGGTGTTCAAAAAGAATAGGTAACTTTAAAAAATTTTAATAGTGTCAGATTTTTGGTGTTGTCAGGTGATTGGTATAGGTCAACCCAAGTCCTCTGGAAGAATTCCACTTCCAAGACAAAGACTGTAAAATGTAACCCCATGTTTTGTGTGTCCTGGAACTAATACAAGGAAATTATTACAATAGTTCCACAAAGTAGATTTTTCAGGCTTTGGGAAACCACACTTTCTGTTATGCTCAAGCCTCTACAGACAGTCTAAATTTGTCATTTTGTATACTTTTCATGAGATACAGTATTTTGCATATTGTTGTTTTTGTTTCTTGGTTTCATCTTCATAACGTCACAGTTTTGATTAAACATTATTAATGACCTGTTTACTTTTAGAATATTCAGTGGTACATAATTTAAGAATTTCATAGATGAGTTTGCCATGTAAAACAGGCTTAATGAGTTTCCATCTTCCAAAATTTATAGGTATTACTAATGGAAAGCATAGCTTTTCACTTGCTGTTAAATCTCATTGCATAACCATGAATTCCACTGTAAAGGAAAATTTTTAGATGTTTTAAAGTTTGAGCTGTGAGAAGGACAAGAAAGAGACAACTTTCTTAAAGTCTGTATGTTCTATCATTTGCTATCTTGTTGTCCTGATTTAATAAAACTTGTTATATGTAAGGGTTTTTTGGCTTGTTTTTTTTGAATGAGATTTGGTCTGTTATAAAGTGAGAAAATTTCCACTAGAAATCAGTTTCTCTTTTTTAGTGTTCCGCATGTTACATCATGGAGATTGTTTTGTTTTGCTTTGTTTTTGTTTTATCGTACTGTTTAAAATGCCTTTTCATTCTTCAGAGAAGTTACTTTTTTTCCTCTTAGGTTTTAAAATTTTAATTTCTGAAATTAACTTGGAATTCTACTTTATCCAAAAGTAGAATTCTAATTCGCACTTTTGATTTTAAATGTAAGCCATTGTGAAACAAATTATTTCTCTTGTCTCTGTTGCCCATCATTCTTCTGTATTGCTTTCCCCATATAGCCAGTCCAGATTCAATTTACTTTGCCTTAGCCTAATGCAAAATTGTGAGAATTTATTTGTTTGGAATATACGTGGGCTACTAGTGGTCACGAATCTATGGAACGTGTGCCACAGCAGGTTGTTTGTGTCATTGAAAGTTCTAAAAGGTTTGCCATCACTGGGCTAGGAACGGGCCTGATTCTTTTTCATTTGATGTATTCATCCACCCTACCCATCGCATGCAGATAAGTGTTTTTTCTCTAAGCTCAGTCTTGTTATAGAGAATTGTCAGTGAAGAATCCTCTGTCCCTTGGTGGGGGCTTGTCATGTATTCCAGGTATTCACAGTTGTATTCACAATTCAGTTTTTATCAAAAAGTTGTTTGTTGATGTTTAAACAGTTGATTGGGTTTTTGTTGTGGTTTTTTTTCCTTTTTTTTTTTTTTTTTTTTTTGATTGGGGGGAGTGCCACTTGGACAGGAACTTGCTATGTGGTTCAGACTGGCTTTGAACTTTTAGTGGTTCTCCTGCATCAGCCTCCCAAGTACTGAGGCTACAGGCATGTGTTACAATACCTGGCTTCAACAGATTGATTTTTTAATTCATTAATTTCATACTAGTTCATTTTACTGGATACTTTAGCCTCGTTTGGCTTTGTGAGTTGATTTTGACACGTAATTCATTATGATTGTTTTTGTCTAACTTTACTAAGCTTTATATGTTTCTATTGATCGGTATGCTTTTGCTTTTATGTTCCTATTTCTTATATTGTTTAATTTGAAACTTGAATAACTGATTGCCTTGTTCCAGTACCTTTGGTTATCATAGGTAATTTGTCCCCTTCCTGGTTTCTTTAGATCCTTTTGCTATTCATATTAAAGTCTAAATTGTAATGTGGGACTAAACTAACGTCATTTAGCGTTGGGTCATATCCTTTAGAACCTGAATTAATTTTGATGATTTTCATTCATATGTAGAGAAGATTAATTCATAGAATTGAGTGGTAGTCATTTATTAAGTAGATTGAACTCTCAAATACAGTGTTCAAGAATACTTTTGTTTGCAAACTCTACATCTGATGACATACGTGGCTGCAGCCATCTTTTCCCTCACAAAGACACATTTTCCAAAATCATGGAACAAATTATATTTGTGAACCAAGCTGTCACTGTTATCTTTAAGAATTTATATGTGTGCTATAATATACAAGAGAGTGGACAGATGGTATATTCTTATACAAGAAAGTGGACAGATGGTTTATTACTAAAAAGTTTGTTTTCTTATATATTTGTAAAGTCACCTGTTTAGATTTTAAGCACTTTTGATCTGGGATTTTGAAAAGAACCGGGTTATTGTATATTTTATTCAATACAGGCACTAAAAATCAAAGGAGAACAATATTGAAAAACTTTTACTAGATTTTCTTCTTGAAAAAAGGAAAAAAAAGCCCTGAATGTTCACTTAAAACTAAAGTGAAATTAATATTCTTAAGTTTAGGCTAGAAATAATATAATAGTTTATACTTTTATATTTACTTGTTAAAGGTAATTTTTTCCATGCACACTATAAAATGAGCATTAAAATAGATCATTGATAGAGTACTTCATTCAGCAAGCACTTACTAAGCATACTATATACACACGATATAGCTTCAGTGGATTTTATTAAGTTATACAGAGTTTAACGTCATATTAAGTGTATAGATTAAGTGCATAGTACATAGTAAACTGTTTTAACTTCTGTTTTAGATGCCTGGAATGATGTCTTCAGTAATGCCTGGAATGATGATGTCTCATATGTCTCAGGCTTCCATGCAACCTGCCTTACCGGTAATATTGTGAAAACACTATTTTCTGTGATGTTTTGATTACTTATAGACAATCATGTTAGTTAGCCTTTTAAGTGGCTCTGGAGAATTTAATGCAATATGGAAATTGAGAGCAGACTTTTGGATTTAGTTTACATAAATTGAAATGACAGGTATTTACATTTTCCCTAATATTAAAAAGTAAATGTTTATTGAGTGCTAATTAAAAATTGATAAAATACTGGATTTATAACTCACAAGATTTGATTTGCAGTCTAAATTTCATTGAAACTTCAGCTGAAAATATTTGAACAGACTTACTGTCCCCATTGGGTAGCAGTACATAGTTCATACTCTTATCAGTTACTGCAATCTTCAAATTAGTTTAACTTCTTTAGTTCCTGATAACCTAGTGGTTGTATTGAACAGGTGTGACATATTCTCCTAGGGTGGTAAGTTTGCAATGTTTTATACAAAACTCTTATGGCATATATATTTTAAAATACTGATATTGGAAAGTAACATTTGCAATACTGTATGTTGTGTAGAAATTTCCCGTTGGGTCTGGAGCAGTGTCCTCTAGTTTCTGATGGTAATATTTCTAATAGTAAAACATAGATACTCATTCTGAGGTGGGATGAAGAGTGTAAATAGTTTGAATTCACTCATGACAGATTTTGCTACAATAATGAGCTTTGTTACCATTCAAAACTTGGTTTGCAGAGCTTTGTGGGTTTCAGAATTCTGAGTAAAAGTTTGTGGATCTGTGTATACCTGATGACCATAGAACAGATCAAAGTGCTGCATACAGCAAGCTCGGAGAATGAAAACCACTAAAACTTGTGCAGAGAGTGTTTGTCTTAAGCTTGAGAATTATACATAGAAGAAAGGGACTGATTCTCTGTGCTTCATTAGTAACATATAAAAATTGGTTTAAATGAGGTAGATGTTAATAATTTCATTTTTCTTCTTACAGCCAGGAGTAAATAGTATGGATGTAGCAGCAGGTATGTATATACTCTGTTGGTGAATTTCGTTTGGAGGGTTACAGCTATACAGTAATGAGAAATAAAAGCAGTGTCTCTTGAACTTTATGATTAGTTCCTCATGTCTTTTCATTTTTTTGGCAATAGGAAACAAGGATAAGCATATATAGTTGAATTCTTAAGAAATTACAATAGATTAAGGTCACAGGTTCTGGACCAAATTTATTGTGCAAACAAGTTTTGATTCCCAGAGTGATTTCAAGTTTTATAATTAATGTAAACATGTAAAATCTAAATTTTACTTAAAGATAGAATTTATGTTGAAACATTACATGGTCTGAATTTCATTTTTTTAACGCTAGACTTGCAGACATAGTAGGTGCTAGAAAATATTCATAGAATGAATGAACTGATTCTGTAGTTTTACTCTGCAAACATGGGAGTAGGGTAGCCGCTACATACAATAGATATGGATTGTTCTCTTTCCTTGGTGTTCTGATCGACTTGATATTCATTTTTATGTTACCTCATTGGCCCTTGTAGTATTGACATGTAAGCTCCCCCTTTTTTTCTTACTCCCAATATTTGGTCATTTTGACTAGTGAGACTTTTATGTATAGTAGTAATGCTTCAATTATTCATGAATAAGGAGTTTTCCATGTAAATTAAAATTCTGGCTGCTGAACTTTATTCCATGACTATATCAAAATTTTTGTTTTGCTTTAAATGTTACCTGTTGAAACTTGTTTAAGACACATGCTTTTCTACAAATTGATCTTTTTAAAATGTTTCACAAATGTCATTATTTACACTAAAATGATGTTCTGAAATACTAAATATAGTTTCTAAAATCTCTTAAATATCTATACTTGGGTACTATTACCTAAGTAATCCTGGAAAATTACATTAAGTTTTCTTTTTAATTACTTTTACAATGTTTTGCTTATACTGTTTATATTCATAGTAGCCTTTTTTAGTGTTCTTTGTTTGTACAATCTTTGTTTTCTTGTTATGTACAGTTTCAGCTCTCCACAGTGTCAGTGTCATAGCCAATGAGGTTTGTCGAAGGCATGATTATTGTTAATTGTTACGTACAATTTTAAATTAACTATTTCTAAGGTTAGAGATAATTTTCACTAATGCATTTCAAAATCCCTTACATCTTAAAAAGCTTTCTGCAGTATAGAATAACACCATCTAATAGAACTTTCTGCAGTGATGGAAGTTTTCTGCACACTGGACTGTCAAATACAGTAGCAAATAGCCACATGTAATTATCGAGTATTTGAAATATGGCTAATACATTTGAACCAATATTTCTAAAATTTTTACTTAATCTCAGTTTAAATTTTAATTTCAACAAAAATGTGTTGTAGCTAATTGTACAGCAGCACAGGTGCAGAATTTAAGATAGTTGAAGTTTCCAGAACTGTAATGCATAGGATTACAGGTCAGAGGCATTATTGTGCTTTTATAACATATATAGCAAAGAAAAAAGAATTAGGTGAGTTAGGCACCTATAATAGCAAGACGAGAAACAACAGAGGTATACTTTAGCTGGCTCCAAGTGAATTTTCAGATTGAAAGTGCGAGTTACAAAAATGCTTTGCGCTATAGATGTTCATTTGTGGGAAAGAAAACCAGCTACACACTTCAGATGGGAAAGTTCCATAATATTAGTAAGGATAAGGAGGAATAAATAATATGAATTAAAACTGTTAAGACAGGAGAGCGTGATTTATCACTATTTTATCTTTTTTGTCTTTCAGGTGCAGCATCTGGTGCAGTAAGTACTGTTCTAACTTTTGTAATAGGTATATTTCACTCTAACCCAACTTCTCTTCTAAACATAATCTCCCAAATTAATCTATAGTTTCTAATCCCAAAGGTTGAATATTTGGTTTATTTTAAAATTAATTTTGATGGGACTTACAAGAAAAGTTGTAAATACTGAGCTGGTTACTTTACAAACACAGGAGGTTTCTATAGATCACAGTTTTGGAGACTGAAGAATCCTAAGATTGGTCCACTTCATCAGTAAGGCTCTGGTAAGGCCACGTGGCTACTTCACAATGTGAAAGAAAGCATTACATAGGGAGAATACCTGCAAGAACAGTATGCAATGTGTGTGGAAGAGATCATATGGTGAGAGAGGTAGAAAAAGGTGAAGCCAGGAAAGATGGAGTTGGTTTCTGACAAACTCACTCTTGGGTTCCAATTTAGTTTCAATAGAGTAAGAATGCACTTGCTAGGAAAAGTGGGTTCACTCCTCGTAGTGACCTCTTAGTCACATCTTACAGGCACCCCCTCCAACATTTCCACATGGGGGACCAAGGTTAATGAGGAGAAATCAGACCCAAACCATAGCAAATGGTGATCATGTATCAGTCCTTGAATACCTTCCTTTGAATTAGGATTCTTTCTAATTCTTTGAAGTAGAAGAAACATAGCATATGTAGATACACAATAATTACTAATCTTGTAATTTTCAGTTAAATATTACATGAGGTTTTTTTATGTAGAAAATTATTTATTGTTTATTTGTTTATTACTGTGAATCTGTAGACTTTAATACCGCCCTTCTGTATCTTTGGGAAATTGGTTCTCAGACCCCAAGTGGATACCAAAATATTGGGATGCTCAAGTGCCTTATATAAAATGGCATAGTATTTGTATATAACTTGCACATATCCTCAAATATATTTTAAATCATCTCAAGATTATTTTAATACCAAGTATAGTATAATTGCTATGTAAATAGTTGTGCTATATGGATTAAGGAATAATAATTTAAGAATATGTTTCTACATGTGGAGTCCAGACTTTTTTTTTTTAGAACAGCATTGTTTTTTGTTTTTTTTGGTACTGGTGAGGCAGACAGCGGAACCACTGAACTAAATCCCCCACCCAGGGCATTTGTTTTTTAAAGGTAGTAGTAGCTTTGTATCTTTTGCTGATACATCTGTATATAATAGTCTTTTAAACACTTCTGTTTTCCATATTTTAGGAAAATAATGTTAAGCTTGGGGCCCCCACTGAAGATGGCTATTTTATTTTTGTTAGTTATCTGCCTCGAGGATTTTCATTTTTTGCTATTCCATAAAAAGGGAAGGATTTATATATACTTGTTTAACCACATAACAGTACTGAAAAAATAACATCCCACAATTCTGTTTTTCAGTGTTTCGTTTTGTCTTGTTTTGTTGTGATTTTGGGTGGGATTGAATCCATGGCCTTATTCATGGTAGGCAACCACTGTTGCACTGAGCTACACACCTGGCCCAATCCCACAGTTAGGGTTGAACAAATACAGAAAGCTTTGAATTGACTACAAATATATTAGTATTTTATATCTTAGGGGAAAATTTTTAAGAACCTTATTTAATGTTTATTAAAATGTTTATATCTTTTGCTTTAAAAGTTAAAATGTCCACCTCAGTACCCTTTCATTGAAGAACCTGCTTTTATCGTTTGAAAAAGATATACCTTCCTGTTTTTCCTGTTTGTTTATATAACATAGATTTACTAAGAGGAAAGAAAACAAAGCACATATAAGTTAGAAGAATGTAAAATTTACCCAGAATAAGGGAACCATCACTTATTTTTCCCGTTTATAAGTTAACCTCAAAAAACTTTGTGGGCCAAGTATGGTGGCACACTCCTGAAAGGCTGAGACAGGAGAATCTCCACAAGTTCAAGGCCAGTTTAAATTTACTTGACAAAACCCTGTCTCAAAAGAAAACAATCTGTGTAAGCCACCTCCCAAATATAATCATTTAGATATCATAAAGAATTATTTGATATAGATATAATTTATTTAACTATTAAATGTTTTGTTATCAGTTCTTTAAATGTTACAGATACTCTTAGTTAGTCCTGACTTTTGGATAATTTTCTTGGCCTGTCATTTGTTGATTTCACAGAACTTGTCACAGAAGTGTTAGTTTCTGAATATCTTGAACTTTTTACAAAGATTCACCCATCCTTTAACATAATTCAGTTTTGTATGTGTTCTTGTAAGACTGTTGTTGCTTTTTTACTATTTAAGCTTTTGATTCTTATCTAAAGACAGCCACATGTATCATCAGTCTCATTTAACTGAAATCTTTTTTTGTCATAAATTAAACTTTTAGATTCTGGCATCTAGTTCAAGTTTTTCTACTCCACTGGCTGTCTCTATTTCTATATTTTTGATCCAGTATTATGCTTTCTTCCTATAGGAAGAAGGCTTTAGTATTTGTTTAATAAGGCAAGTTTTCAAGGTTCTTAAATTGTTTTCTTGGCTGTTTTCAGGTAGTAACATAAAAATCTTCTAAGAAAATTAAAAACACATCCTCAAAAAAATTGATTTTTTTAAAAACCTGAGATTATATTTAATTCATTTGAGTTTTGGGAGAATTAACATGTTCATTTCTGTTAAACCTCAGCAAAAAACACTATTTGATTGAAAACATTCTGTTAGTTGTTTTCTCTTTTGATTCCAGCCCAAATTTGGTCATTATCTTTGCTCTGTTGGGACCCTCTTACCTTTTCTTCGCATTTTTTCCCATCTACCCTCCCTAGGATAATGGTGATGTGTATGTATTGGAAAAAGCTTATAAAAATTTTTGCATGGTTTTGTGCCTGCTTGTGTTCATCTTATACATTGACATGTCCTCAAGGGACATGGTAGTTAGGTCTTCTTTTGCATATTTTGTGTTATCAGAGATTTAACTCTCTCCCTAAAAATCCTGGACATCCTTCATTGTATTAGTGTAAGAATGGTGTAGAATTGGTACTGTTTTGAATCACATTGTGCTTTTTAATTGAAAATTTGTATATGTGATCCTGTGTCTAGTAAATTTGCTGAGCAGTTTTTGTCTCCTTAAAGCTGTTATTTCTCTTTGTCATAGGCAGAACCTTCAATACTATACTGAGTAGTAACAGTGGTAAACTTACTCTTCCCTTAAATGACTATAAATTTCTCTATTAAATGTGGTGTTCAGTATAATTAGATGGTGTATAACCTGTAGTAAAATAAAGAAACTTTCTTCTGTTCCTAGTTTGCTGATAGAGACATTTTTTTCCCTAGTTTGCTGATACATTTTTTCCCCCAAAATGGCTAAAGTTGTTTAATTTTTTCATATACTTATTGGCCATTCATGCTTTTTTTGAGAAATAATCATTTATTTATTTGCCCATTTTTAATTAGGTCATTTGTTCTTGGGGCTCTAATTTCCTTTTTTTTTTTTTTGAGACATGGTCTCACTATGTAGCATATACTATACTGAGTAGTAACAGTGGTAAACTTACTCTTCCCTTAAATGACTATAAATTTCTCTATTAAATGTGGTGTTCAGTATAATTAGATGGTGTATAACCTGTAGTAAAATAAAGAAACTTTCTTCTGTTCCTAGTTTGCTGATAGAGACATTTTTTTCCCTAGTTTGCTGATACATTTTTTCCCCCAAAATGGCTAAAGTTGTTTAATTTTTTCATATACTTATTGGCCATTCATGCTTTTTTTGAGAAATAATCATTTATTTATTTGCCCATTTTTAATTAGGTCATTTGTTCTTGGGGCTCTAATTTCCTTTTTTTTTTTTTGAGACATGGTCTCACTATGTAGCAGAGACTGACCTGGAACTCACTGTGTAGCCCAGGCTGGTCTCAAACTCATAGCAATCCTCCTGCCTCAGCCTCCCAAGTGCTGGGATTACAGGTGTGTACCACCACACCCAGCTCTAATAATGCTTGTTTGTTTTTTGAGACAGGGTCTCCCGCAGGGTAGTCTAAGATGGCCTTGAACTCACTGTGTGGCGTGCTGGCCTCAAACTCACAGTGATCCTTTTGCCTCAGCCTCCCAAGTGTTAGGATTATAACCATGCATCACCACACCCAGCTTTAATACATTTTTTAAAATTCCCTAATGCTTTTATGTATCAGCTAGGATAATTATATGATATTTATCCTCTAGATTGTTAATGTATAAGTACAGAAATTGTTTTCCTGACATTAAGCCATCGTTATATTCTTAATATGAACTCTTCTAATATGCATGTTTAAGGTGCCATATTTCCCTGAAAATAAAACTGAATCATACTGCTTCTCAGCCTTGTGGCTAAGATCAAGTGAAGACGGAGTCATATTTTTGCTCCAAAAGACACAGCAGAACTTATTTTCAGGGATGTCTTATTTTTTCATGTATAACAATCTACATTTATTCGTTTACTCATTTATAAAAATTTACATTTATTCAGATATAGTCATGTTATCTTCGGGAACATTGTCATAACTCCAAACCCCGAATTCCAGCCTGAATTTCCTGCAACTCTCATTTCCTATAATAACGTTGGCCCTAATTTCTCATGTCCAGCAGTCGAGCTCTGTTAAATGAGTGCTTCTTGTCCGTGTAGCCTGCTCGTAGTGCATTAGCAGTGCAGCTGTCTGTGACTTTTATCCCATGAATTCTTCACACAAGTCATGACTTCTTGCAGGCTGGGCTTCATAAAGTTTTATTAAATCAAGTGTTAAATGAAGACTAAGGAGGCAGGAGTGGCAACAAAAATGATGAGTTCAAAATGATGGTGCACACAAAAGTAACAAAAAGCTGTAGGCACTAAAATTCAGAAAACGTTTCATTTCACAGAAGTGCAGTAAGTACATCCATTACCACAAATGATGTGTTGAATTATGAAGATTCGTATTAGCCACAGCCATGTCCATTTGTTATCAAGTGTGCATGTTATTCATCCGTTGTCTCTATACTCTAATTGGTCATTCAGTAAGTTTCAAATTCATCTGTTTACAAAGGTGGTTATCTCTTGTCCAAAGGCACCTGCTTGGGTATTTACAAATAGTTGATTATAGCAGGGCATGGTGGCTCATGGCTATATACCCAGCTCTCAGGAGGCTGTGGCAAGAGGATTGCATGAGTTCAAGGCCAGACAACAGAGTGACTTCAGTGACAGCCTGAGCTCTATACAAAAAACCCAAAAAGTTAATTATACTTTGTTATTATTTAACTATTAATAATATTATTTATCTTTAGCTTTATATTATAAAATCCATCTTGTGTTGAAACAGATGTACTAAATGCATCCATCTGACTGATAATTTTTACTGGGGCTATTTTTAGGGCAGGGCTTATATTATGAGCATTGTGAAAAATCATACTAGGGATTATTTTACATCTTATTTTGAAGAAAATGTGATATGTATATATTGACGTGTGTTTTACTTTATAAATTCAGTTTGTAAATACCTTATTTAGATTCTTTTTGCTTTGCTTTTTGTCCCTAGAACAGCTTACATAAATGCAAAATAATTTCATAATAGCTTGAAAGAACACAACTGAAAATAACTGGATCTAATACTTTTTGAGAATAGAGGTTTTTGATTACTGTTCTGTTTAGTTTCTTTAGTAATTATTGATCTACTTTAGTGTTCTATTCTAATTTTATTTTTGCAGAAATTATTTCATTGGAGTTTTCTAATTATTTAGTATAGGGTTTGAAATCATTATAGCTGTTCTCAGTCTTATTTTTTGTTGTATTTTTCTTTTTGTGGGGATGACTGTCCAATTTATTTTTCTTATCTTTATTTCCTCCTTAGTAATGTTGTTGCTCTTTTTCTAGCTTTTCATGTGCTTAGCTCACCGATTCACAGGCTTCCTTTTGTGTCGTATGAGCTTTAACTTACAGAGTTTTCATTTTCATTCTTCCTCATAATTATCTTTTCTTTATCCTCCATTTGATTTGTTATTAAATGGCATGTTTTTGTTTGGGCCTTTCTTTTTAAAATAGGTGTGTGTGTGTGTGTGTCTGTCTGTGGTATTTTTCCCCCCCTGTACCGGGAATCGAACTCAAGACCTTGAGATTGTGAGGCAGGTGCAGTGCCACAGAGCTAAATCCCTGGCCCGATTTGTTTTAGAGCAATTTTAGGTTTACAACAGCACTGATACTTCTTACCCTCCCACATTACTAGCCTCCCCTATAAGTAACACCCTTAACTCAACACTGAAACATCATTTTCACCTGGAGTTCATAGTTAACTGACGCATGTTTTCACTCCTGACGCTGTACACATTATGGATTTTGGCAAGTGTTTAATGAAACATACCTAATATTACAGCATTGTACAAGTACTGTAGTTTCACTTCCCTAAAAAAGCTCTGTGTACCATTCCAACTCTTAGCAATCATTAATCTGCATACAGTGGTGCCTCGGTTCACAAACTTAATTCTTTCCAAAATTCTTAGGTTCGTGAACTGAGGTATCACTGTTTTGTCTCCATAATTTGACATTTTTCAGAACATAGGTGGTTGATTGAAAACATAATATGAATCCTTTTATAATTGGCTTCTTTGAGTTAGTAATAATGCATTTAATATTTCTCTATGTCTTTTAGTGGCTTAATAGCTCTTTTTTTTTTTTTTGAGCTCAGGATCTTGACAGGCATGAGTGGGCAGCACTGGGCCATCCCTGGCCCTTAGCTTATTTCTTTTTAACACAATAATAGTCCTTTGTCTGAATATGGTATACCCTGACTTAATTACCCATTAAACGTATGGAGGGGATCTTATCCAAGCTCTGGCACTTAGGAATAAAACTGCCATAAACATTTGGGTGCAGGTTGTTTTCTTGCATAGTTTTCAGATTGTTTGAGTATCATGAAACTCATTTTCTGAATAGTGTAGTAAAGGTATGCTTAATTTAGTAAGACTCCACACACTAGACAGCATAGCTTCTAAAGCAGCCATACCATTCTAAATTTCTGTGAGCAATGAATGAGAGTTATTCCACATCCCTACCAGGCATTTGGTTTTTATTGGTCTTTTGGATTTTTGCAGTTTTACAGTTCTATAGTGATATATTTAAATTTAATTTACAGTTCCTTAATAATGCATAATGTGAGGTATCTTTCCATGTTTGTTTACCATGCGTGTCTTTAGTGAAACATTTTTTAATCAGATTATTTTCTTAAGGGTTTGTTAGATATTATAGATAACACTTTTATCAAATGTCTTTTGCACATATCTTCCGTTACTCTGGCTTGACTTCTCATTTTTCCCAGTGTCTTACAGAGCAGAAAATTTTAATCTTCATGAAAATTAAATATTTCAACCTATTTATTTCACCGATTATACTTTTGTGGGTAGTTTTTCAATAAGCTGTCCTTTTGCATTATAATCAGAACGCACAGGCAGGCCTGCAAGATTCTTTGAAGTTTCTTTTTTTTCTTTTTTAGAAATTTTTATCTGCAAGATATTTTGAATCTTGCCATATCTGATTTACTTAAGATAGGTATTCAAATCCTTAAGTAGAAAATGTAAATCATCATTTTGTCCCTGTATTTTTTTGTTGCTCTGTTTTTCAAGGTTAAATTGCCATGAAAGTTCATGACAAGTGTTTTGATCTGTTAAGTTTTACACTATACAGTGTTCTTTTTCTTTTATGGCTTCAACTTTAAATTCTGCTTAGGTGAGACAGATAAGTAGATAATTTTGTACAGCTGAAGAGTGATTTTTATGCATTTTTTAATTAGTTGAAAAAGACTCTGCTGTGATTGTGCTTTTCAAGTCTAATATTTAACTTTCTCCTATTCAGGGTGGATGAGAGCTTTTACTCATGCAATGCTTAGATATGGCCATTTTTTTCTGTTTCATTAAATTTACCTTATACCTTGTATATAAATATGTATATGTATAGGAATGTTTGTCTCTTACATGAACAACATTGAGCCTTTTTAAAAATTTTTGAGACCAAGCCTCACTTTGAGCCCAGGTTAGGCTCAAGCTTGTGATCCTCCTGCCTCAATTTGAGTGCTCAGATTAGAGGCGTGCACCATCACACCACGTTAAGTGTATTGGATTTCCCTTTTTTTTTTTTTTTTTTTTGGTACCAGGAATCGAACCCAGGTCCTTGCTCTTGATCAAACTCAGGTCCTTGTGCTTTCAAGGCAGGCCACGGAACGGCTGAGCTAAATCCCCAGCCCCACCCACTGTTTTGAATACCTAGTAATTCATTCACGATAACTTGTAAAACATTTCACCAACCTTAATTTAAAGTGTCATTATCTAGTGATGGCTCAGATATCATTAGAAATAATTTTGGTAGTTCTTTTGGAACCTTGATTAAGGTTCATATTCTATATGAAACTAATTTCACATAAAACTTTCTTACCTATCTTGTTTTGAGGTACTTGGATTTACATTTTAATCCCTGTTAAATTTCATCTTGTTGGTAGTTAAAGTCTGTTTGTAACCCGGAAGCTATTTTTTCCAGTTTTGAGAGATGTGTCTTTATGGCTTGCCAATTTAGTACTTTATCCAAGCGCATATACTCATTTTGGGGGTTAGAATAGGTAAATGCATTATCATTCAACTTAGGTTAGCATCTAGTTCATAACACTGTGTTCTCTTTTATCCTCTAAATTCGTATTGCTAGAGAATTGTCTTATATAAAAAAGTTTAGAATTTACACCTCACCCCACCCCACCCTCATACTGAGACTGGAACTCAGGACCTTGCACTTGCTAGGCAGATGTGGTGCTGCTGAGCTACGTCTCCAGCCCAGATTCACTGTTCTTAAAAGAATACTCATGTCTAATTCTACGAAATGCCCTCCTACCTGAATTGATCCACACTACCTTTGAAGTTCTTTTTAATTGTTCTGCTTTTTAGTTCTTCGCTATTTCCATCAACATGTTATTCTAAATGAATTTATACTTTGATTTATGGTAAATATTGCCTTGAAATGAATGATGTTGATATTCAGCATGTTACATAATTTATATCTTTAATATTTTTCTTCAGAAGTCAATGTGGACTGAACATAAATCACCTGATGGAAGGACTTATTACTATAATACTGAAACAAAACAGTCCACCTGGGAGAAACCAGATGATCTTAAAACACCTGCTGAGGTAAAACTTTTAAGGACTTGAAATCAATATACTGGAACATAGTTATTAGAATCTTGTATTTGGTTATCCAAAGAGCATTACTCCTTACATGTTAGAGGAGAATCTATAAAGAAATTCAGAGCAAGTTAATACAATCACACTAATCAACAATAATACAAATGGTTTTCTTCTGTAGACTAATTTTATATAATATTTCCCCTTTTCAGAAACATAATCTAACAAAATAAAGTGAAAGTGTTGAGAAACAGGCTTTGATTCCCCTTTACTTTTTAGTTCATATTTCAAACTCTTCTTTATAATGAAACATGGGTGATTTTAAATGATTACCATTTAGTTCTTAAATTTTTCAGAAGAATTTGGGGTAATGAAAATGAAATTAAATCATCACAGCAGTGTTTATGAGAAGAGGATGATAGATAGTTTTTTACTGTACTCATTACCAATTTGTCATTGATGGTTATCTATATATATTACTAAGACATTCAGGTTTCCTGTTACTTTATTATAGTACTCTTAAATTTTATATATCAAGTTCCAGTTAAATTATACCTATGTTGTTTATTGATATAAGGTAGTTTACATAGGGTTGTAAGAAAATATTAAACTAAAACTTAAATATGACTAAATTAGATTTTGCTCTCCTCCAAATTACCTTTTTCCTACTTAGTATTAGAGATGCCTTTGTTAGATATTAATAATAATTTTTGCCTCAGTTATGGTATAAATGGAAGCACACGGAATTTGGAATTCGAGTAGATCTGATTATGCATCTTGCCCCTGCTCTGTAACTTGGGTGCATTACCTTAAATGAGTTCTTTTCTCCAAGTAACCACCATCATTGCTGATGAATATATTACTATTAACCAAAAGTTTTTTCCTGTAGCAACTGTTATCTAAATGTCCTTGGAAGGAATATAAATCTGACTCTGGAAAGCCTTATTATTACAATTCTCAAACAAAAGAATCCCGCTGGGCCAAACCTAAAGAACTTGAGGATCTTGAAGGTAAAGTGAGAAAAATTAAATTTTTTGATGTAAAGTTACTATATATGTTTATCATTTGCTTTGAAAAAATCCTTCCTGAATAGGATTGTTCAAAGACCTTATTTTTTAAATTAAATAATTAGTACATTCTAAATGGTGTAACAGTTTTATGGGCTCTTATGTTCTTGTTGCTGTAGATCTCAGTTCTATAGATTTTAAATAGATTTTTATTTGATTTGATTCCACTGAAACTAGGATACCAGAATACCATTGTTGCTGGAGGTCTTATTACAAAATCAAACCTGCATGGTGAGCTGCTTTGATAATTCATTTTCTGTCATATTTAACATTTTTAGAGTATGTCACTAATGTTCACTAACCATAATTGGATAAATCTGCAGTGAAAAATATCTCTAATTCAAAGCAATCCTTTCATTTAAGGGTTATATTATAAATGAGCTTGTAGCTTTTAAAGTTGTACTTTGGTGTTTTAAGAAAACCATTACTGGGAAATTGAGCAAGAACTTCACATACAAAGTTTCTAAATCCCGTTTAACCATTCAATAATGGGTAGTAGAGAGTAGAGCAACTTGCATATTCATCAGTTTGAGTTTTATTATTATGTCAGCCTACCTGTAATGCTGATTTTATTTTAGCATACCATTGTGTAATAGCCATTATATGCTTGTTAGGGAAAAATAAAAATAAAACAACCACATCTCACTTATAAAAAGATTTTTTAAATCCCTAATTATTTAATACTCCCGAAATCTAAGAAAAATGTATCACTTAATATAAAACCCAGGACTTAAAGTTATAAAGATTATGAGCATTGAGAATTTAGCTATTTGTAGCTAATAGAACTTGGTGTTATAAACTGTACCAGATTAAAAGCAACAGATCATAGTAAAGTCAGTAGGAAAGTGGGATGATACTGGAGGAAAAGAAAAATTTGTTAAAAGGAATTGTCATTTTAAGTATACTTAACTTTTCCATGTCCACCTCATTAGTTTAGATCATCATTGTATCAGAAAAATGTTAATATTTGATTAATGATGACAGATTTTCAGAACTGTTTTCCCTTTAAGGCTAATAGTTTTTAAGTATTTTTATAAAGAGTTAAGCTTTTGGGCCGGGGATTTAACTCAGCGGTTTGGTGGCCTGCCTTGCAAGCGCAAAGACCCGAGTTCAATCCCCGGTACCAAAAAAAAAGAATGATGATAGCAAAAAAGAGCAAGTTACAATTCCATGAGTCACTCTAACATTTAGAGGAGAAAGCAGATAAAGGAATAAAAAAAAAAAAGAGTTAAGCTTTTATCATCAATTTCATGGGGTACCTCATTCCCTGGTGATGCTGAATAAAATATTTTTTGGCACTACCAAATTTAAAATTTACTTAAAATAAAAAACTATGATTTTTTAAAGCTCAGTTTAAATTATCTATACTAGTATTGGCCAATAACAATATTGTAGATAGGTAGATTTCAAGTTCTTTTATTAATAGCATATCAAGCTCATTTCTGATATAACCCTACTACCAGTAGTTGATGTGCATAGCTATCTATCTACTTGTCAATGCTAGTACTTAAAAATGTTCTGGAATTTCATGAGTTTGAACCCATTTACAATACAATGTCTTTTAAAAAACCAACAAAAGTCTCATCCCTGGGGAAAAAATACTATGTTACTCCTGAAATATGCAGATTTTAAAGGAATGTGCAAGGCTCTCATAGCCTTTGATGAAATAAACTTTCCTAGTAACTTTTCTTTTTAGTACTTGTTTTCATTATTTAATAACTGCTCTGAAAATGGAGCAAATGTTTGCTCTGTAAAAGTGATTTTTGAATTTTTTTTCAGATGGTAAATTAAATCTTATTGTATGGTTGTTTCTTTTTTTAAGTTGTGATTATATTTTAAAACTCAGTCGTAGATGACTTTTCTTCTTTTCTCTTTAATAGCCATGATCAAAGCTGAAGAAAGCAGGTAAGTAGATTTGGAAATCAATTTATATTTATAAATTTAATCTCTCCTATAGCATACGTTTCTTAGGTGTTAGCTTTCCTCACAGTATAAATATTACTTAATATGTTAGCCCCGGTGGTTGCATGTCTTTGGCGGATTTTGCACAGAAGAAGTAAGGAAAGGTTTTTACTTAAGGTTAGTCTCTGTTAAAGAAGTAATGTTTTAATTTTAACTGCATGTTTTAAGAATTAATTTTTATAAAAACCTCCACAATTTGTTTTGAGTTCATTTGGGAATAAAATACAGCTATGTATGTCCTCCTTTATATGTTTCCTTCAGGTAAGTACAGAAAATTTTAAATCTTAGAAATTTATAAATCACATTTCATAGTATAACAGTCTACTAGATGGAACGTTTTCTAAAGTAATCATAGGACTTTGGGAAATGTAGACTCTTGCATGAATGCCTGTTACACATGATCATGAATGCTTCACTAATTAATTAAAACAAAGTAATGCAGTAGTAGCTGAGCATGGTGGCACACATCTATAGTCAAAACTACTCTGCAGGCTGAGGTGGGAGAGTAGATCACTTTAGTTTTCAAGTTGGAGACCAGCATTGGGCAACATAGCAAGATGGTGGGTAAAGGGGAAATAAATACTGCTTCATTTTTTTATTTTAATCTTTTTAAATAACTTACTAATTTTCCATCACTGCAGTTCTTTTTTGCCCTTCTTTTATTAATCATTTGATATTAACATTAATTTAAAAACTGGATTTATTTAGCTCTGTAATTAATGAAAATGACCTGTTTTCTCTCTTTTTTTAATGGATAGCAAACAAGAAGATTGCAGCACATCAACAGCCCCAGTTCCTACAACAGAAATTCCTACCACTATGACCACCATGGCTGCTGCAGAAGCAGCAGCTGCTGTTGTTGCAGCTGCAGCTGCTGCTGCTGCAGCAGCTGCAGCAGCCAATGCCAATGCTTCTACTTCTACTAATACTGTCGGAACTGTTCCAGTTGTTTCTGAGCCTGAAGTTACTTCCATTGTTGCTACCGTTGTAGATAATGAAAATACAGTAACTATATCAACTGAAGAACAAGCACAACTTACTAATACCACTGCTATTCAGGATCTAAGTGTTGAAGTATCTAGTAATGCAGAAGAAACATCAAAGCAGGAAACTGTAGCCGAGTAAGTATAGTAACTTCAATGCTGAAAATCAGTGCCAGATTTAATTAATAATAAGAAATTCCAATTTAGTAAATGGCTATTAAATGTGCTTTAAGTACAAATGTTTTAAGAATCAAAATTTAAATTTAGAAAATTGTTCATGATGGCTTGTCATGCCACCAAACGTGTATAAAACTAGTTCACAAAAGTTTTAGGACATAGCTGAAAATGAATGAGTTGCAAATTCCTTTAGAATGCCTAGCTATGTCATTTGAATGCAGCATTTGCATTCAAAACAAATGCAAAGTTTCATTATGTTTTAAATAAAGAAATGGGTATTGTTATTTGGGGTTTTGTTTTGTTTCATATAGCTCAGCATAGCACTGTGAGGAAGTGGTTTGATACTGAACAAAGAGATCATCTATAGTGGCGTTTGGGAATATCCTATCAAATAGAATATAGTATTAAAGTTGTTCTGTTTCTTCCTTGGTTATTGGTGTCAATTGATTTTCAACTCCCTGCAAATAAATTTTAGAACTGCAACTAAACTTTTTGGAGGAAAAGGCGTCACAGGTAAAAGAAGGCAATTTATAGACAAAGAAATATACGTTCAGGAAGCATGTGACAAGGCACTCAGCCATAATAATGTAGAAACCCCAATTTAGCATTGTAATCATTTTTCTATTATAAAAGCAAAATTCAGACACAAAACATAGCACCAGAGCTGAGCATGGTGGTGCATGCCTGTAATCCCAGTATTGGGAAGCTGAAGCAAGAGGAAGATCACTGCAATTTTGAGGCCAGCCTGGGCTGCAAAGCAAAACCCTATCTCAAAAATAAATGGCATAGCATTGAAAAACTAATCACTCTTAACTAGACTAAACTGATGCATTTTAATAAAGCTGTGTCTCTCAGAATTCACAATAGGCATCTACATGCTGGCTTTTTTGTTTGTGTTTTTTTGAGATCAGTGTTTAGCAAACTTTTTCAGAAAATACCAAATACTAAATATTTTGGGTTTTGTGTAAAACTTTCTTTGTTATAGCGACTCAACTGTGCTGTAATAGCACAGAATCAGCCATCAACAGATGAGTATGGCTACATTCCAGTAAAACTATTATATTTATATAAATTGGGCTGGATGTGGCTAACTGATCATGGTTTACTGATCCTGCTTTAGCTTGAGTTCTATGTCTTTTTTTCAAATTTTATGTACTTTCCCAGAGTTATTAAGGTATTAATATAAAAGCACTAAGTGGGCTGGGGATTTAGCTCAGTGGTTCTGCTGCCTGCCTTACAAGCGCAAGGACCTGAGATTGATCCCTGGTTCCAAAAATAAATAAATAAATGTACTAAGTAAATGAAGCAAATATTTGTTACAAAATCATATATTTATAAATTTCTCCCTAGTTTTACTCCCAAAAAAGAAGAGGAAGAGAACCAACCAACAAAAAAAACATACACTTGGAATACAAAGGAAGAGGCAAAGCAGGCATTCAAAGAATTATTGAAAGAAAAGGTATTGACATAACAGATTTTTTTGTGACATTTAATAATTATCTAGTAAACAAAAATTACCCTTTTCATCATTTTGATGCCTTTATTGTAATCATAATCTCATGAGCATTATTAACTAAATTTGTCTCCTTTTTTGGTGAAACATTCAAAAAGGTACTACACAAGCACATTTCTATGTTAATATTTAATCAAAGACTTTATTTACAGTCATTGGTTATCTTTTAATCTTTGGTCTAAAGAAACTATTCTGTTTAAATTTCAGTTTTTCAGTCAATAGGTATATTACAGAATTGCCTTCCATAAAAAACTCTTAGAAATTTTCAAAACTTCTACTTAAGGGCATTGATGTTTGCAGTGAGTATTATACTTGATTCTTTGTTAAAGGACTTTATACTTATATGAGATGTAAAATTTTTATTTAAATGATTTTCAGCGGGTACCATCCAATGCTTCATGGGAGCAAGCTATGAAAATGATCATTAACGATCCACGATACAGGTAATATTACAAGTTTTTATGTAGTTTTCACATTGAGCATAAAAAGCCTAGCACATTTAAAATACTGTTAAAATGGTACAACTTCGTTAAAACCCATTCACTTCCATTATTTTAGATAAAGTATAAATCAAAGATCATTTCCATTATCGTAGATAGGATTATAAATCAAAAAAATACAAAAGGGTTGTCATACAATTTGACTGCTGCTAGTAGTGAAGTTAGAATTATTTGAAAACTAAAAATTACTTTCAAGAACCATTTCTTGTGTATAGTACATTATAGAAATTTTCTTAATTTATGTATGAAAATAATTGTACTAATTTTCAATGCAGAAACATTTGCTTCTTCTGCCTTTTTTTTTTTAACTTATATATACTATTGATATTTTTCTATTATTTAGTGCTTTAGCAAAGTTGAGTGAGAAAAAGCAGGCCTTTAATGCCTATAAAGTCCAGACAGAGAAAGAAGAAAAAGAAGAAGCAAGATCAAAATACAAAGAAGCTAAGGAATCCTTTCAGCGTTTTCTTGAAAATCATGAGAAAATGACTTCTACAACCAGATATAAGTAAGATTTTTTAATGATGCATGGACTATGATTACCATATTGTTATACTTTTTGCCAAGTGTACTAAGTATTCCACAGTGAATGTGTTAAATGGAGGTAGATAATTGTGGCTGATTTATACAGTGAATGTGGTGCTTTCGTAGAGTACAAGCAGCAGTTAGGTGAAATTTAACTTGTAGACTTGAGTTACTAATTAGCCTAGAAGAAAAAGGGGAAAAGACTAATAGTCAAGCTTGACTATTGTACTTATGAAGTAATATGTATTTATGAAGAGGATTAAACTTATTATTAGTGAGATAGAAGGTAAGATGTTTTAATTAAGTATAACATTTATAAAATTTACATTTACAAGGTATTATTGAAAAATATGGTCAATGTATAATTTTCAAAAAAAAGATTGTAATAAAAGACAGTTTGCCATTAATCCCTCACAAAATAGTCTCTTGTTTCAGTCATCTCATCACTCTTGCCACAGTTCTGGATGTCCTATTTTGTGAGTGTCTTTAAAGGTACACTTCATGACTGTTCCAATATCCTGAATCCATTCAAAACATATATCTTTCATGACCATTTTTTACTTTGGGAAAGAGCCACATCAGTGAAAAAGGTGTATGAGGACACACTAATGTTTTTATGAGTCTGCCTTTCTGTTTTGTATATGACATTGACTAGCAGCATTCACTGTATTTTTTAATCACACCTTGTAAAGATACACGTAGGAAAGAAGACTTACAGAACTGCCTCAAAATGTGGCAATGAGTTGAGTGTATTTTGATCAGCCTTTGTGTATAGCATGCTTAAGTTTAAGTTATTATTTAAGATTGGGGTACTTCAATATTTAAAATTCTGTAATTGCAAAGACCAGAGTTTGATCCCTGGTACCAAAAAAATAAAGAAAATTCTGTAACAAATTTTTTTGGCGGGGGGGTGGTGCTTGAGACAGGGTCTCACTATGTAGTTGAGACTGACCTGAAACTCACTATGTAACTCAGGCTGGTCTCAAACTCACAGTGCTCCTCCTGCCTCAGCCTCCCGAGTGCTGGGATTACAGGCGTGTGCCACCACGCCCGGCTGTAATAAGTTTTTAAGCTTTTTTTCTTTTTGTTTTCTTCATTCTAGAAAAGCCTTAGTGAAGGACTTTGTTTTTCTTATATTGTCATATTTTATGAGTTAACTTTTGAAATCTGTACTTTAATTCTGTAGCTAATTTGGTAGTCTAGCTACCCCAAGAAAACAGGTAAGTTTACCAACACAATGTAGTGCTCAGTGGGAATAATCTTCTCTAAGGAGAAAGGGTACTTTTCTTTACTATCAAAACTATAATAGCTTTCTGTCAGATTCTTTTTCTCTCTTTCTGCCTCTCTCTCTTTCTTCCCCAAGTTATTTTTCAGTGTCTGTATTCCAAATCTCAAGAGAAGCTGATTTGTTCTTGGTCACCATTTTTCCAGAAATTCTCTCAATGTTTTTCCCACTTTTAAAAAAAATTTTATTTATTTATTTATTTGTTTGTTTGTTTATTTATTTAGGTTTTTGAGACAGGGTCTTGCTATGTAGTTGAGACTGACCTGGAACTCACTGTATAGCCCAGGCTGGTCTCAACTCACAGTGATTCTCTTGCCTCAGCCTCCAAACTGCTGGGATTACAGGTGTGAACCACCAGGCCTGGCTGATTTTCCCACTTTTAATGTTAAGAAATACTACCTTATTAAACCATATAGTTCCTGGCAAACTGAGACACTTGGTCACCCTAATTAACTTCAGTAAAGATTCTTACTACCAAAAAAACCAAAAAACTATAATACGGTTATGAACTTGAGTGAAAAAACTGTTTCATTTAGTAATTTTAAATTTAATTTAATATTTAAATGATATAATTTTTACAGTAAATTAAAAGTAACATTTATTTTTAAATGACTAGAAAAGCAGAGCAAATGTTTGGAGAGTTGGAAGTCTGGAATGCAATATCAGAACGTGATCGTCTTGAAATCTATGAAGATGTTTTATTCTTTCTGTCAAAAAAAGAAAAGGTATCATTTATTCTTAGTTAATGGTTTTTATAGAAAGGTATCTTATAAGAAAATGCGAGGAGTTACTTTATATCACATCCATTTCTGTTGCTTAGTTTATATAGTGCAAGAGATACGTTTATTAGAAGTTAGATTTAAAGACAGAATGGACAGCTCTTAAAATTGTAAAGTTCATCCCTCTTCACCTAACATGATAAGTAATGATATAGTCACAGTACACCCTGATTTATCCAACTATTACCATTAATTGGCTGCTGTACACTCACTTTGTAAAAGAAAGTAACTTTTTAAGCATATTAGTTTTGATAGTGGTTTTTACTTATAATGTGATCATTCTGCTTTAAGAAAGGCAGTAAAATGCTGTTCACACTGAACTAAACTTGTAGGATAGGTTTTTAAAACATTTGCTTTATTTATGTATTTTTTGTACTGTGTAATTTTGTCCAGTTTTGCCGGAAAATATGTAAATGCAAGTATTTTAAAACTTTGCATAATCTGAAGATCAGTATAAACTTTAGCATTTACCCATTAAAGGACTTGTCCACAGTGGTGTTAAGAGAGGTTTGTGGTGTGAGTTTAAAAGAAACTTAAATATGGTTTCCAAATGCTGCCTTTGGAGGGATGTAAAATTGGCACTTAAGTACCATGCTAAGCATGTAGGCAAGGACATGGGCAAAACAAATAGCATGGATATTTAAAACAGATGCATGATATTTGAAATTGGTTTTTCAGTTAGAATGTAAAGAAACCTTCACTAAGTACAAGTGAAATATCTCAGTTTCTTTAAATTTCATAGATCTATTTATACTTTTGTTGTAGGAGCAAGCAAAGCAGTTGCGAAAGAGAAATTGGGAAGCCTTAAAAAATATACTTGATAATATGGCTAACGTAACATACTCTACCACTTGGTCTGAGGCCCAGCAGTATCTGATGGATAATCCAACTTTTGCAGAAGATGAAGAGTTACAGAGTAAGAATAATGGCTAAATAAGAAGAATGGGTTGAAACAGTATATCCTGCAGCAGCAAAGAGTTGTTGCTCTCACTTTATATGTGATCACTAATTCAGTTTTATGTAGTTGTCTCTGATAACCATGTTTTATTAACCAGGTATGTTGGCATATGCCTGTAATCCCAATACTTGAGAGGCTAAAGCAGGAGGATCACCATGAGTTCAAGGCCAGCCTGAAATACGTAGTTGAAACACCATCTCAGAGAAATTTTTAACAAATTTTTTTATTAATTTTCATTCATATTTTTTCCATTAAGTTTATTGGTGCCTTTTAGGTATACAGTACATTTACATTCATCATTGCGATCTTGTACCTTTACATGATGTATCTTAGTTTTTATTTTTTCCCCATTCCCATGCTCTCCCTTCAACCCCTCTACTCCTCCCTATTTACAAAGACTGTTTCCATTTTTTCCTTTTCTCGTATTGTCTTCCTTTCCCTTCTTTCCTTTCCCCTACCCTTCCCACTTCCTCTACCATATTTAGACCTTTTCTTCCTGTTTCACATTATCAATTGTACATTTTTATTCTTATTTACATTTTGTTTCTCACACCTGGGAAACTGTTCAGTATTTACACAAGTGTGTCCTATTTATTTCACTTGAGTATTGCCTCATTGTGCATCCATTTAGCTATTAATGTCTCTAGGTTCTCATTCTTTATGGCTGAGTAGGACTCCACTTTATTAAAAAAAACACATCATCTTTATCTAGTCTCTAATTGATGGGAAAATTGCCAGTTTCCAAGCTTTAGCTGTTACAAACTGTGCCACCATAAGCATGGGTAGGCATATATCACTGTGGTGTGAGTCTTTTGGAAAGATACCCAGCAGAGAACTAGCTGGATCAAATGGGACCTCTAATCCTAGTTCTCTGAGGTATCTCAATATTGATTTCCACAGTGATTGCACCAGTCTGCACTCCCGCCAACAATGGAGAAGGGTTCCTTTCTTCCCACAACCCTGCCATATTTGTTATGGGTTGATTTCATGAGAGCAGCCATTGTTTCTGTCTGGATTGAGGTGGAATCTCAGTGTTGTTTTCATTTGCATCTCTCAAATGACCAGTGAAGTTGAACATTTTTTTATATGTTTATTTGCTGCTTTTACTTCTTTGAGAAATGTCTGTTCATTCTAATTTGAGTTCTGTGGTTCAGTTCAAATTTTTTTTGGAAATCCACTTTGTCTTTAACAGATCATTTCTGAAATGAGTAAATTATAGTTCAAACTGGAAAGTGTGCTTAGCTGTCTTTATATAAATGATCACATTTTACTTATGTCATTTCTTGAGGTAGGAAGTTCTATGTGCATGTGTGGTGTTGGGAATTGAACCCAGGACTTCATGCCTGGTGTGCACTTTACCTTCTACTGGGCTATACCCTGAACTCATAGTTAATAAGTTTTGCAAAAGAAGAAAAGTATCAATGATGAAATTGCAAAATTGCCAAATTCTTTTGATGCATTGATTGTGTGTGTGCAAGGTGATACATGACTGCTCTGCAAAGTGCGAGAATTATATTCCTGATTTACTTTTATTTTGTGATAGGCATACTCTGTCATCATTGCAGTGAGTTCTTTGATAATTTTTCTTAGAACTTCCCTGTTTAACATTGCAAGTCATTTAAGAACAGGTATTTTTTGAAAGGTAAATTGATAATTTGTAGAGAATTAACGCGAATAAACTCCTGACATTTGAAATTGTAATTTTTATCTGAAAATGTTTTAGACATGGATAAAGAAGATGCATTAATTTGCTTTGAAGAGCATATTCGGGCCTTAGAAAAGGAGGAGGAAGAAGAAAAACAGAAGAGTTTGCTGAGAGAAAGGAGACGGCAGCGTAAAAATAGAGAGTCTTTTCAGGTGATAGAAAAAATTTTTTACAGCTTAGTTTTATAGTGTCATTCCTGAGTTTGAACAGTGATATGAACAATTTTAATTTTGAATGTGAATGATGTGAACAATATGTTTCAGAGTCATTTGCCTAAGTTGTGGAAGACCCGTACACATTTCTACAAGTATTTAGTTACTACAAGTAGTTACTGTATTTCTCCCTAAAAAGGCATTTCAGGCAAGGAACATACTGTCACTGTTAAAATGAGCATTGATATATGGTAAGATTTCAGTTGAGAAAAACAGCATGAGGGGTGACTAGAAGAAGCAAGATATATGTGATTATCATTAGTAGTAGTTGATGTATAGGTTCCACAGAACATAGGAAATATGCTGGTATATTTTTGACAGTGGGTTATAATCTCTTAATCACTGAACATAGGAGCTGGGGTTACATGCCCTTTAGCTACTTGCTGATTTTCATCTCTTTATCACTTTTATTTGCTCAACAAAGAGTATCATAGAGCAGTAAATTTTTACATTTTACATCTCCCCCTATTAACTCATTTCTGTAATAATTATAATTGCAACTCACATATATATAATGACAGTTTTCAGTGACATGTTTATATCATTAAGAGTAGGTGCTGTTTTTGTTTTATCCATTTAAATAGGTAAGGAAATTGAAATAGACTTGAGGTGAAGTAACGTCTAAATTCTACAAGTACTTTGTATAGGTAGAATTTTAATCCATGTCGCCTTGTATGTAGGCTCTTTGATCAGTAGGGTAAATACTAAGTTATGGTGGCTTAAATAAGCTTATTTCTTGAAATAATTACCATTTTTGGTCAGTGGAAGACATGTCATCCTCTACAGTTGTTCTCAAAACTTAGTGTGTATCAAAATCACTCTGTTGGGGTTTTGAGAAAAAGCTCCCATACCAAAGGGAATTAATGCTGTAGCCAATAGCTTGATTTCAGTCATTACTCCATGAAAACGCCTTATTCCCATAGTTTCCTTTATCTTAATGATTTTCTACATAAGCTTTTGGAAGATTATTTAAACCAGTTTCTTGAGCTTCGTCCCAAGAATGTGATTTAGAGGATATGGGGTAGGGTCTGAAATTTTGCATTTAATAGTAATGGACCATAGTTTGAGAACTAGTGTGTCCTATAACTTTAGTCTTGACTGCAAAATTAGAAGCATTCTGTCCCCATGGTCACATTATAGCCCAGAAAAAATGACAAGGATTGTTCTTTTGAAGCCAGAGATACAGAACTTTTCTCACTTCCTTCCCTCATATTTACTTGATCAGACTGGCACTTACAAGAAGTGCTTATGGGGCCAGGAATGTAGCTTAGCAGTGCAGTGCTGCCCAAGCATCAGGCCTTGAGTACAATTCCCAGTGCCAAAAAAAAAAAAAGTGGTCCTGAGTGGAAAAAGTGTTCTATCTTTTCATTGAATACTCACTGGCCAATCAAGTAATAATCAATATTTGTAACGTCCATGACAAACTGGTGAGTGGTTTTTAAGTCTTAAAACTAACTCTGAATTCATGTCAACTATAGAAAGGTGCATTGTCTTGTCGGCAGATGCACTTAGATGCAACCCATATCCTGGGAAGTTACCAAAATTCAAATTCTCAGACTTCACTCCAGAACTACTGAAACAAATTTTGAAACTGGAGCCTTAAGAATCCATGTACTAAGAATTGAAAGATTAAGAGTTGAAAGATGAGGATATCTCCTAATTAATCAAAATATTTGAAGGCTTGAATTCAGGCACATACATGAATAGATATATGGTGAATAAAAAGAAGGAAAGAGGGAAGAAAAATTTACTGTTATTGGAGAAAAAATCTTGTTGTCACTGATGGAAAGTTGTTGTTGGGATGTAGTGTGTATATCAGAGATGATGGTGAACATCATAGAGTGTACACAACCATCACCTCTACCCACAAAAAAAAAAAGAAAAGAAAAGACAAAACAGAAAGTTAGATAGATCACTTGTGATGTTGATAGTGCCAGGGTTGAGAACTCTTCCTTAAAGAAAAAAAGGGGACCAAGTTCAGCCATCTATGAAATACCTTGTTCTCCATAATGTAGAAAACTAGCCTTTCTTAACAAAAAGTGAAATTAATAAATGAAAAAGAATAAGAACCCTAAAATTTATGTCTTTTTTAACCTGAATTCGTTTTACTTATCCATTGATTTTTTTGTACCGGGGATTGAACTCAGGACCTTGCGCTGCAAGTGCAGTGCCACTAAGCTAAATCCCTGGCCCTATATCCATTGATTTTTAAAAAGTGAAGGTACAGACATCTTGAGTTTCAGCCTATATTGCTTAAGGAAAAAAAAAAGGTCTTCAGGAAATTCTGACTTTTAGGTTAAAAGAATCCACTGTTGAAATGGATTTAGTGTCACATTTCCATGATTTCAGTAGATTCTGAACAACCTGGAACTGAAACAAAGCCTAGCAAACCTAGAAAACCACATATAATAGAATGGGGTAGATTTTAATATCCTGTAGAATAACCCTGAAGATTGTTTCTAAGAGGGAGTGAGCAGGTAAAGAACTTAGGTGACCAACTAGAGTGGGCTATGGGCAGGATTCTTTTTTTTTGAAGGGTAGGAACAAAAAATAGATTTGAGTTTGAGAAAACTTCTGAGTGCTAAAGCTATATGAATATACATATTCTGTGTAAAGAGGAGCTGAGTAATGTATGCTTGGTTAAGGCAGCTCGATCCAATGAAAATATATATGCTATATATGCAATTTTTATTCAACTGATGTTTAATTAGTTTTTGTAACCCATTTAACCGATTATATCTAAAATGTTAACATTTTACCCTATCAGTATTTTTATTTTTAGAAATTCATTTTTTTCTTTTGGTACTAAACCTTAAAAGTCACTGTTTATAGCATAGCGTAGTTCGCACTAACCATAATTTATGTCCTTAAACACTACATTTAATCAGTAGCTACCATATTGAACAGTGCAGGTGTATAGGAATTGTGGGAATAGGATTTAGGGTCATAATTTTCTTACATGCATTTTTTTGTAGGATTGAACACTTAGGGATTTGGGAAACAGGAACTATAGAAAGAGGTCTCAGGTTACCCTGAAAGTGAGGAATGGGGAGGGGGAAAGAAGGGAACAGAATAAGCAAACTTTAAGATTTAGATTTTGGGTATAGTAGTAATGTGAAGAAAAAGAAGTAAGGGACAGGTTTGAATCCTGGCTCTCCAAACTACTTTGGGAAAATACTACATTCTTTTAGAAACCCATACTCGTTTAAAAAGATAAATAAAAATAATGAATACGCTAGGTACTATTTGAAAAGAAAAAAGTATATTTTAAGGAAAGAATATGTATTTATCCTTTAGTGTTATGATTTGAGAAATGTGTATTTTTTAAACTTGAAATTATGTTCTATCTTGAAGGATGGGAAATAGAAGCCTAGAGAGTTAATGAACAATGAACAGTTCTTTTCTCTGAAAATGTTTTGTAATCCAAATACATTTACCTTCATCAGAGGAAATTCTTGCATCTAAACATGTTTGAGATAACATTGGTGTAATAGTTTGAAGTACTGCTGTTTTTTAACTCTTTTTCATGTTACACTTATATTTAATACGAAAGATGACTTTTCACATGTGATTGCTTTCCTACCCTTCTCCCAGATATTTTTAGATGAACTGCATGAACATGGACAACTACATTCTATGTCATCTTGGATGGAATTGTATCCAACCATTAGTTCTGACATTAGATTCACTAATATGCTTGGTCAGCCTGGTGAGATTATTTTCTTTCCAAATTTATTCTAGTAGTTGGATTGGCCCTCGGGTAAACTGATTGTGGTGGTGGAGGAAGGGTGCTTTATTTTTGTTTTATAAACAAAAAAAGTAATTGCAGCTCTTTGGTTAGAGCTAGCTTTTGACTTCTTTAGTTTTTTCATTAGGATCAACTGCACTTGATCTTTTCAAGTTTTATGTTGAGGATCTTAAAGCACGTTATCATGATGAAAAAAAGATAATAAAGGACATTCTAAAGGTAAACAAATATACTGATTCTTACCTTTTAACCTATAGTATTGCTTGGATATATGTATTAAATGTAACAATTTCTGGGTTTCAGGATAAAGGATTTGTAGTTGAAGTAAATACTACATTCGAAGATTTTGTGGCAATAATTAGTTCAACTAAAAGATCAACTACCTTGGATGCTGGAAATATCAAGTTGGCTTTCAATAGTGTAAGTTACCATTTTAACTATTATAAGTAACTAGTAGTAGTTTTCAGTTTGTTCAGCTAAGAGTTGCTTACATTCAGGGTTATTGGGATGAGGGAATAGAAATAGAACTGGTAGAATAGTAGACAGTACTTCAGATACGCTAAAAAATTAATATATTTAGATGCTGTACTGTGTTAAGCTTCCTTTGTGTACATTAACTGGTGTAGATATTGGGCCTTTTAAATGATAAGAGAACAATGAATTATTTCAATAACAGGAGTTACATTTTGAAACTGATTAAATATAATTTTTTAATAGTTACTGGAAAAGGCAGAAGCCCGTGAACGTGAAAGAGAAAAAGAGGAGGCTCGGAAAATGAAACGAAAAGAATCTGCGTTTAAGAGCATGTTGAAACAAGCTGCCCCCCCCATAGAGTTGGATGCCGTCTGGGAAGATGTGTGTATACTTGCAAATTTTTTCTATAAATCATTTTTTTACAGTTGAAAATGAAAATATTTTTAATCCTTGATTATTTAAAGCCACAAAAAAGATAGTTATGTGTAGAATATATTAAATATATTTATAATGTACTGAAAGTAAACTGCATTTAAGACTATTTGTTGAAAGTGGTTGGGACTTTTGAATCAAGACAAATTCATGTTCAGGGTATGGGGTTAGTCACAGTTTTTACCTCCTATGATTCCTTTTAGATGTTATTATACTTTTCTTAGTATTCACGTATTCAAATCGGAATTTTTCAGATCCGGGAGAGATTTGTAAAAGAACCAGCATTTGAGGACATAACTCTAGAGTCTGAAAGAAAAAGAATATTTAAAGATTTTATGCATGTCCTTGAGGTAATTTTAATATTTTTATAATTTACTGAAATACTACAAAATATACAAACAAAATAAAATGATCAAAATATTGGTGAATATTCACTGTTTTTGAACAAATGTAGTTAGGTTGCATGGTTAAGCAAGTTTATGATGCAATAAATGAAGCTGAAGCTAGTAGCATAAAGAAAGGCTTATAAGGCAGGCCTGGTGCTATGGGCCTGTACTGTGGCAGGTTGAGGCAAGACGATCACAAGTTTGAGCCTAGCCTGGGTAACTTAGCAACTTGTTCTCAAAATTAAAAAAAAAAAAAATTGGTAGGGGAAGGGGATGTGATATGGCTCATTGAGAAGTCTCTGAGTCCAATCCCCAGTTCCACAAAGAAAATAACTATATTACTCTGTAAAGCAAATGTAAATTCTTGAAATTTTCTTTCTTGATTTGTCCCTGTAGCATGAGTGTCAGCATCATCATTCAAAGAATAAGAAACATTCTAAGAAATCTAAGAAACATCATAGAAAACGTTCCCGCTCTCGATCGGTAAGAAAGTTTATTAGCACCAGAAATGTACTAAAACAGTCATTAGTATTGTTATGAATTATGTTATTTGTACTATTTAGGGATCAGATTCAGATGATGATGACAGCCATTCAAAGAAAAAAAGACAGCGATCAGAGTCCCGTTCTGCTTCAGAACATTCTTCTAGTGCTGAATCTGGTGAGCATCTTCTGTTAGTACTTTATTAAAATTGGTGATGGTTTGATTTCTCAAATTGACACGTTTTTTCTTTCATGTTCCTCAGAGAGAAGTTATAAAAAATCAAAAAAGCATAAGAAGAAAAGCAAGAAGAGGAGGCATAAATCTGTAAGCACAATTCTGATTTTGACACTTCACCCATACTTTTGCCATCGGTTGCCTCAATGGCCAAAGAACCTGCTCCTAATTCAGTCTGGTACCTACACTTGAAAGGAATTTGGGAGAAGATGGCTACATTTGTTTGTGTAGGGAAGTGGCAGTGGTCGTGTTTGTCACCAGTGTGGAGTTTGCAAACAAGCAAAATTTTGCTAAATGCTTTTGTTTGTGAACCAGACTGTTTGCAAGAAGTGTTTGTGAACTGAAGTATTACTGTTCTATAGTTGTACTTCACTTTGGTCTTCCATTATCATTTGATAACCTTTGAACAAATATTAACACCGGTGTTAGGATTCCTGCCCTGGTTTTTTTCTAATCTTGAAGAAAAAGAGATGTGACATTCTGAGCTGTTACTGGGAACCACAAATTTGAATTGTCTTTCATTTTATGCTGTTTACATAAATTTGTACATGTCTAATTAAGAATCATTTACATTCCTCAGTGATTTTGAGGAAATAATTTTGCAGGGGGGGTACCAGGGATTGAACTCAGGTCCTTGCGCTTGCAAGGCAGGCCACCGAACCACTGAGCTAAATCCCCGGCCCCGAAAGAATTTTATTATACAGTGATCAACCTTATATTTGTTTACACTAACAGCAGCACTATAAATTAATACTGCACTGGGTGGTTGGTGCCAAATGTAATATCTAAACTGGTGGTATAGTGCTGTGATAAAGTGCATACTTGGCATGCTTAAGGCTTTGATCCCCAGCAACACCAAAAAGCAATTTCTGTCTGCATTTACATAATAGATAGGACCTATCTGAAGTATTAGTCTCTTTTAGTGGTGTTTTATCCTATGAGAATGTCATCCTTTCTCATGGGTAAGACCAGCTGTCTCCCGTGAATCATGGGGTCATTTATCAAATCCTTGAAATTAACTATTTAAATTATATTTCACCTATCTAGGAACGTTATAACCTATTATATGTGAATGTTCTTAAATATTGCCTATATAAGGATTTTTTCAAAAACAGAATGGTATTTTTATCACATCCTGTAATTCTAGCATTTGAGAAGCTGACAGGAGGACCACAAGTTCAATTCAGCCTAGATAATTAGGGAGATCCTGTCTCAGAATGAAAAAGGGATGGGGATGTAGTTCACTGCAAGGATACTGGGTTCAATCCCCAATACTACCATAAAAGGTAACGTGTATTTTTTATTTATGTAGGACTCTCCTGAATCAGATGCTGAGCGAGAAAAGGATAAAAAAGAAAAAGATCGGGAAAATGAAAAGGACAGAAGTAGACAGAGATCAGAATCAAAACACAAATCACCTAAGAAGAAGACTGGGAAGGATTCCGTAAGTATTAGAATAGTGTCATTTCTATATTTGCAAAATATAAAAATGGATGCTATGGTCCTTGAACTTATGGTAGTCCTGCTCAACCTCCCAAGTGCTGAGATTATAATAAATCCATAAAAATATTTTTAGAAGACTTTTTTTTGAGGTTTGCTACCATTAAAAAAACAATGAAAATTCAGTTATCTACTCATGAGAAAAACCTCATATTTATGGTTATGAATGACCTTTGATTGAGCCTCCTAAATTTTATATTCCTTTAAAAAAAAGAACATAGTATTGTAACCCACTAAGAAAGAATATGGTCTTTTGCATTGTGCATTAGGAAGTGCCACTGGACACTGTCTTTCTGATTTTTAAATTTTTTTCTTTGTTGTGTTGTTTCATTTATTTTGCAGTACTGGAGATGAAACCTAAGGTCTAGGTCGTACTAGGCAAGTACTCTCTCACTGAGCTATGCCCCCTGCCTTTTTTAAAAAAAATTTCATGATGGTCTCAATAAATTAACCAGGCTAACCTGGAACCTTTTGCCTTAGACTGAGTGATGGATTACAGGTGTGTGCCACCACACCTAGCTGTGTTTTTTAAGAAATATAAAATATAAGAGACTTAAATCAGGGGTTTTGCACATGCACACCATTTTCATAGTTCCTGAGTCCAATATTATTTTGAAATGCTGATTGAAGAGGAGTGAACACAAATGAGTAGGATGAGGAAAATGAGCATGTTAGTATTTTAATATCAAGATGCATAAGTCTTTGGTTTCTCATATATACATTATTTATAAATGACAGAACATACAATAACACAAAGCTTCTTAGCATTGCAAATTTCTTAGATATGAGTTTAAGAAAGGTAATGCCTGTGAGCTATTGAGAACATTAACTATGTAGATAAAGTCTGGCTCTACCTTTATTTTTTTTTTCTTTTTATTGAGTTTATTGGTACGTTCTACGTATACAGTACAGTTACATTCATTACTGGGATCCTGTACCTTTACATGACAGGTCTTGGTTCTCATTTTTTCACCTTGTCCCTGCCCTCCCTTCACCCCTTCCTCCGCTCACCCCTTCCTCCCCTCCCCATTTACAAAAACTTTATTTCCATATTTTCATTTTCTCATATTTTTTCTTTTCCCTTATTCCCTTTCCCCTACCCTTTACCTTTAGTGTTTTGTTGTTTGTTTGTTTTTAGTACCAGGGGATTATTTATTTATTTATTTTATTTTATTTTTGGTACTGGGGATCAAACTCGGGACCTTGGCAGTGTTTTGTTGTTTAAAAGCTACATGCATCAGGATGAGCTTGGTTCACAACTTTAGTAAAGAATGAAGATTGTACATGCTCCTTCCAGACTTACTAGTACCTTTTTCTTTAACAGTAGGCTCAACAAAATTCCTGAAGTGAAGGAAGATGGGTTAACTCTGCTTTCCAGATGTTGTATCTCACAGATAATACAGTATTTTTGTTTATTCAGCCTGAGTCTTACTCAGCCTGCTCTTAAATATTGGTTATTTGAGCATAAAAAAATCAGAATGGAGTATAATATCTTTACTTTTTATCATCTGAAATACTTACCAGACCACATAATATAGATTACTTAGAAATTTAACACCTGGCCTTTAAATAGAAACAGAACACCTGGCCTTCCATTAAACAGAAACAAGATGTTTCACATTCCATTCTTTAAAAGAAAGGGAAGGAACCAGGGTATACCATTTTTCCTGATTTACATATTAATTAAGCTGAAAGTAGCACTGTATAAAAGTCCCATTCTAAGTAAAGTATTTCCTGTAATGCAACCCCTGTGAATGCTTAATTGGTAATCCTTTGATGGGCTTTTTGGGAATAGGTTAGTTTTTAAACCATATGAAATGTGTACTTTTGTGGAAAAGACTACATTTTGGATTTTTTCAGATTTACTCTTCTTAGCTTTCTGAATATTAACCTTAACTGTCACATTGTGTTCAATGTCTTTACAGGGTAATTGGGATACTTCTGGCAGTGAACTGAGTGAAGGGGAATTAGAAAAGCGGAGAAGAACCCTTTTGGAACAACTGGACGATGATCAATAAATTATACCAAATACATGTTTACAGTATGATTTAAAATCTAATTCAGAACAGGGACTCTATTTTAAGTTCATTTTAAGTAACACTGGGTTTTAATTGTATCAGAAGAAAAAAGTACATTTAAGTATTGTTATTGTGGACTTTATAAAAGCAAAGGAAGTTAAAAATAACTTTTGATTCTGTATCAAGAATCATATTTTCCTACAGTCATAACTGTCTGTGACCCTTTCATAGGGCACTGCAGGATGGATTAAAGGTGGCAATTTACTGATAACTGCAGATGTCTCTACTTTGTTCTGAAATCTAAGTCATGAGGTGATTTACTTTGTAGAAGTTGGATTTTAAAGATATAATAAAAAATTTTTGATAATACAGTAGTACAAAAAAAGCACCAGCATCCAATAAAACTGCTTTTTTGTGCACTACCCAACTGGTTAAAGCCAATGTGATCATTTATGGTGAGCTCCTGAAAAGTAGGTGTTTTTGATGGAAATTTGGTGTAGACCTTTAACTGTAGTAGTGCTAATATGCACTATTATAATAAAGCCACCATTATTTTTTATGAAACATCTGAATACATTTTAAAAAGTCTATTAGGAGGGCATTATTTTGAGCATCTATTTTGAGGTGATGTTTAAAAAAGTTAACATCAAATCAAATTGTAAATTAGTTTAAATCTGTTGCCTTAAGGACCTACTAAAGAATGTGCCACCACATTTTAAAGTGATAGTTGCAATATACTCAGAATCCTTGTCTAAAAAAAGAAAAATCAATGTGGGCTTAAACATTTTCTTTAACAGCTGTCTTTTTTTTTAATCCAATTTTTCTCTTGCTTTTTTTCATTGAGGAGGTCTTTTACCTTCCCTTCTCACTGAAGTATTCACTCCGTGGTACACATTCTAAAGCATTTCTGATTTGAATATTTTTGTACATTTTTATCAATTATTAAACCTTCTCTTCTAGTGTGTACTAGTATTTATTTCTACTTAACACTGCTCAGCTCTAAATTGTATCATTTCAAAGATACTACATTCCTGAAATTTTGTTTAATCTTACCCAGAAGTTTATTTTCCCTTTTTAATATCTGAAAATATTATAAATCAGTGAATTTGAGGTCCCTAGTTTTGTTTTTCGCCTATAAATTTCCTGGAATATTTTAGAGAGGCAGTGGTTTGAAGATACTCTTTACATACTAACTTTTGAAGGTTGATAATGTAATTTATACTATTTTCCTTCAGTGCAGGAGATGTTTTTAAGTAAACTTTAGCACCTAGTCTTTTTGATATGATCTTAGCTATTATGTTTTTTTAATTTGAACACTTTCAGAGATCCTATTTCAAGATGAGATTTGGAAGAAAAGGAAGTTTTGCCCTTACCATCTTATTGAGTTTGAAAATGGGACTGACCAGGACACCAGGGACAACTGTTTTCCCATCCTGCCCCATATTTTAATTGTGTGTCCACTAAAGATTCAAAATGGGGTGAGGTCCTTTTTCTACTGTTAAATATGATTTTGTAGAAAGTGAGACTCATTAGCTTTGAGAAAATTTGAACACTGCTTGAAGCTAGCCTCCTATTGTATATTAGTTCAAAACACCTAATACCTTTGGCAACAAATTGGCTAGACTTAAGTTTTAAAGGTCCCACTTTAAAGATAGCTAAGATTGCTAATTATGTCATTGACTTCGAAGTCAGTGGTAAAATCTTTAAAACTTGCATATGATATTGGGAGATAAACTAGTGATGTTTCACAGGAGACTTTAGAATCTCTAAAACATTGTTTTCATTACTTCCATAAATGATAACTTTTAAAGTACAACTTTAAAGTTTTTTATTTTTCTATTTAAATAAAAAGCTTACTGGTGTTTTACCATGTCCTCAAAATAGGTTTCTGTATTTCTTAAAATCTTACAATATCCTCAGATCCCTTTTAAGGCAACTGAAATCCATGTATCCCTGAAGTTCACCCATGCAAAAAATTTGACCTAAAAGTGAACAAATGGCAACTCTTTAAAAAAAAAGTGCTAAATGAAGTGACTAATCCTTGTCTACTTCTAATCCCATCAAATGGATTTTAGCTAAGAGAAAGATCTGAAAACGAGATGGGAAGATTTTATTCTCAGTGACTATTTTTAACCTGTAATTATGTTTTTACATGTTCAGGTTGATAAATGCTGAAATATCAAATTGAACAAATAATTAAGCAGAGCATTTTATTCTCAGAGTAATTTATAATTTTCAGAAGACTGAGACTGTTAAAATGTGGGTATATCTTTACTCGGTGTCACTAACATTAATTACTGGATTATATTTACTAATACACTTGATACCATAGTCGCAATCAGAACCTCGGGTATTTCAAGTTCTTATTTTCTCAGTCCCTAACTTTTACGCTAGAAAAATTGAATGTCCATGAGATTAGATAATTTAGCCAATAAATAATGGATATTTTACGGTTTTCTTGAGTGAATTTAAATAATGTAATGCCTTCAAAATAAGAAGTGACCCTATCACACTTTATTTCAACTTTGAAGGTTTTTGTTTCCCAGTAAATTTGGTAGTGATTAATTACAGCTATTTTGTCTTGACTTTTTAATTACATCTGACTTTATACAACTAGAAGATGAAAAGGGATTATCATAAAACAAGGCAATCAGTTCATAGTGGTAGGATGAAGAAACTAAAATTGAAATACCTTCTGTGCATATTCCTAGGAAGTACAATTTAAAACTATATAATCTGTAGTTTTCATTCATCTATATAAACTTCAATTAAGCATTTGTGTAAATGCTCCTGGTTTTAGTCCAGTACTAATAGTTAAGTGCTAGGTAGGCACCTACATTTATTTGCTTTTGCATCCTGAAAAGAACATCTCTTTATTTTAAAAACAAAAAAATTTTTAAGCTAGGCATAGTGGCACTTGCCTATTATCCCAGCGTTCAGGATGCTGAGGAAGGAGAATCACAAATTCAAGCCTAGCCTAGACTACCATACATAGCTACACTTTGTCTTTAAAAAAAAAAAAAAATCTTCAATTATGTATAAGAAAAAAACCATATTCAAATAGTACTTAAGAAAGAGTGATTCCTTTAAGTTTATAGGATATTTAAGTATATAATTTAAATGTAAATGTAGAAACATTTAAAAACTTTCCTTTAGAAATGAAAATGAAACAAAATACACTAATCCCCTAGGATCTGAGAGTATTTTTTCTTTGGGGATGTATCTTAGTACCAGATTTTAATTTAGTCACATTTCATTCTTTAGGTTAAGTTGCACTCATTTTACATATAGGTAAAGCAAAGTAACATCATGATTAATGGAACTGTCTTCTAAGAAGAGACTTATATTTTCATTCTGTTCTGATAACGGCAATACCAGTCTAATTCTTACCTTTCTTATTCTTGTTAAGTTTTCCAGTTATTTTCACTTAAATGGTGGTCATGTAAATTCCACACCAGGGATTTGTCTATTTCCATTTATGGCTGTGTATTTGGCCTGTGAATTAGGGCAGTGCCTGGCTCACAGGAGGCACTTAATGAAGGTAAAATACTAATTGGTAACATGTACTCAGCCACCATCCATAGTACCCACCTGTATTAAAGGGCTAAAAAGGCATCACTGCAATAAACTACCAACCCAAAACTCTAAATCCAGTCATAATTGAGGTATGCCTCAAGTAATAGTCAATGACTGTATCTTAACTGTTAATTCAGAAGTGTCTAAAAGCTTCTTAATGAGAACATACAAAGTTCAAAGGTGAAAACTAATTTTGGGCTACTTTTTAGGCATGACTCATGTTGCCATGGCAGGTACTCCATTTTACTAGAGCTGATTTAAAGGTGAGGTAGAAAGTAAAGGGTTGTGCTCTGATTACCTACACACTGTGGTTAGCCCTCTATATTAGTCATGTCTACCTGCCTCAGTTCTTTTAATCATTTTTTTTAAGGTTGCTTTTGTGGTTCTCAGAGGGTTCTAGTTCAAGGCCATCTCATTTGCAATGATTGGTAATTGACTGTTAAATTGATAATTACCCTAGGTGTACTTTAAACTTGCTATTTCTGTTGTAGAAAAGCTAGCTAACCACTCCAAACCCAATCTCCAATCTGGAGTCAAACCAAGCCATTTCTTGATGATACTCCGTGTGGTTACTTAGTTTTTCTAAGTGCATTGTTTCCAAAGATGCTTTTAGTCCTGCCTGCAAACATTTTTGTTAGGTGTTAGTCTGCCCACCTCTACAACTGAACTGAGGGCTGTCCTGAAAGGTGAGTAAACAAGGAAACAAGATTTTGATTTTCCATGTTTGTATTATCAGATTTTCACATCTGTTTATATATTGTTTACCTGATGTAAAGAACTTCAGTTACATAGTTAGACCTTTTGTAAATAAATGTAATTAGAAAAAAAAATGACTTTCTACTAAATAAGTTGGATTTGTGTGCACATTTTTCTGGCAGCATTCATAAGTTCTGAGTTAATACATCTTGTTTTATTAGTGTAATGCCTATTGTTGATAAAGTTTTCCCTCAAAAGGGTAACATCAACACCTTCATGCATTTATTTCTTCAGATTATAAGTTAATCCTTTCATATGAACTACATTGATAAATTCATCTTTGTAGGTATTCCTGATAAAGACTAAGGAACCGAAATATTAGAGCTAACAAGAATTATCAATTACTGAATAGATATGTGAGGTTTAAAGCTTTTATTATAAAAGTACCATTATCCAGCTTAAAATTAGGTAATTCCATGGAAAAAAATTCAGTACATTTTAACAAAGTAGTCAATGATGGTATAGAGTTCCATTCTGTGCTGAGCAAAAGCAAAGATGATCATTGGGCATTGCAGTGAATTTTAATGTTCACACATGTGGAGCAGTGGTACAATATTATAGGTCACTAGTAAATATCCTAGAATGGGACAGCTGTGTTGGCAGTGGCACATGCTTGTTAAAGTAGTGTGAACACCTGTGATCCAGGTACTGGGAAGGCAGAGGCAGGAGGATTTCAAGAACAAAACATGCTAGAAGCTTGGGGCTTGGCTCAATGATAGAACACACTTAGCTTGTACAGGAGCCTACATTCATTTCCTAACACCAGGGGGGGAATCTTTCATAAAACCCCCTAACCATATCTTTTCTGTATTGACTTGGTTTTTTTTGAGATAAGTTCTCAGAATGTAGTTCTAGTTCAGACTGACTTTGAACTCATGGGGATCTTCCTGCCTCAGCCTCTTTAAGTACTGGGATTATAGGTGTGTCACTATGCCCAGCTCTTTAAACCTAACGATATCTGCCTCATTTAGGAGTATTGCTGTGGTTTAGGTTTGTAAATATTCTGCATTTGTGGAATATTAAAGACCTTCAAAATCTTAAACACTTGTACAAAATAAGGAAGATTATCAGTAGTTATACAATGTAACATTTCCTCCTTTTATAAAATAAAGCATCTACATTATACAACTGGTATATTACAAAGTGCAGAGTTGGGAAGAAACACCAATGTTTGTACAGGCTCTTGGATACAACAGATGTGTGACCCTGGACCAGGTACATCATAATGTTCAGTTGGTTTCTTCATATGTGTACCAGTGTTGGTTACCTCACAGACTTGCAAAAAAACAGGATAATTGAATAGAGTCGAAAACAGCCACATGTCACAAATGTGATGTATACACAGTATTTGTGACAGAATAATCATTTATTTTAACAATGATTCTTTAAGTGATTATAAAAATATTTTAGGCCACCTGGGAGATTTCCTAAAATAAATTTTTCTTGCTTCCAGAAAACCTTACTGTGTTAGTTAAGCTTTCTGGTGATTTGTGTGCAGAGGGGGACAAACTGCTGTGCACATCATCCAGGATGCTGGACAAGGAGCTAGTGTTCCACAATCTCTAAATAATCTGTACCACAAGCTAATTAAAGCCAGGTGTGATGGCGCACACCTGTAAACCCAGTACTAAGAGGCTGAGATAGACGGATTGCAAGCTCAAGTCCACCTAGACAACTGACTTGAGACAGTGTCTCAAAGAAAGGGAGGAAAGCCTGGGATGTAGCTTACAGATAAACCCCTCAGTTCAATTCTCAGTATCACCAGTTTTTTTAAAACACCCTAATTAAATTAGGATAGCATCTCACAAAATGAGTGCTATTTCTCTAGAAGCAGTAAGTTTATAAATATGACATTAGAGATAATATCCAAAATCTATTTTGTTATTCCACACAACAGGTTGCCAAAGAGTTCATATGGGAAGCTGGGCATGGGCACAGTGACACAGACCTATAGTCACAGGTACTCAGAAGGCTGAGGCAGAAGAATCACTTAAGCCCAGGAGTTGAAGACCAGACAGGACAGTATAGCAAGACCCCCATCTCAAAAAAAAAAAAAAAAA